TGGGCCCAAAAACCCTATTCTAAGTATTAAGGCCCCTACATTAATTGGCGATCATGCAATCCAGGCATCATTTCTACTCGAACATATCCCAAACTCTAGTCGAATTAATAATCAGGGCCTTTCTGTTCGCTCGCATGGTCCCGCCTGCACACTGTGTGGTAGTTCGGGAAGGTTCACGTCCAACAAACGGCACAAGAACCAGGAGCAGCTGGTTCACAAGGGACCCGAAGCAAAGAGGACCTCTGAATAGAGTGGCTCGATAATGCTGAACTTTTAACGTGTGAGCCCTGGACCCTGTTAGGCCTGTAGAACTCTAAAGAGTAAACAGTGACATGGAAGGACCTTTGTCGAGAGATGGAGTGCAAGTACTTTGACAAGCGGCCGCTTGCTGCTCATTCTGGCGAGGGGTTTAGGGTTCTTGGCTCAGGGTTTCAGGTGTCGGTGCTCAGCTTTTCCGTTTTCGGATGTGAGATTTAGAGGCTAATGAAGCGTTCAGCGTCAGGGAGTCATGGCTGCAGTAAGTCAGTGTAGCTGGAACTCCAAGATTGCACCAGCCGGCATGTAGTGCTTGGCAACAAAGATTTCTGATGAGATAAGCACCGGATACCACGATGTCTGCACCAGGGCGTGCTATGTTGGGCCGGGCAGTTCCCATCTGTTAGTGTCATACAGTACCATACTTCATCCTGCATATTCCTGCCAAGAGCCCAGTGGCAGCCCGAAGAGAGACCATGCTGCAATTTGAGACTCAGTGTTTGGGCTTGGAGGTTAAGTTTAGGACATTTGCGGTCCTTGGTGCAGGTATCACCTCCGCTGCCCACCGTCAGCTGTATCTGTCTCTTTTGCTGTTGAACGGCTTCAACACTTACAGCACGTAATGCCGCATCCCAGCTTGACACGAACTGTACATTTCTTGTACCTAGCTTGTACTGCTGACGGATTCCAAGACTGTTCCAAGCCTTGGGCGCTAAGCCAGCAGAAACTAATACAGCGACCCTTCTAAGACCCTAAAAACCATGATCCAGCCCTTACAAAACCTTAAAACCCTATAAATTACCATAAACCATAATCGAGCCCTTACCAAACCCTATCAATTACCATAAACCCTTCCAAGACCCGATGCTTTCTGCGAAGGCTCGAGTGTGACGCCGCCCAGGCATCCTTCGAGCGAGAAGCTTGGCGCTTCGCAGTGATGCAAGGGTGGGATGAAGGAGGTTGGGTTTAGGGTTTAGAGCTAGCGTCTTGATACTGTAGCAGCCTAAAATAATTGCCAGTATTATTCCTTAAGGCTTCCTTATTATCATTACATATGCTACACAGGAGCCCAAACCCCTTAAGACCGTGATCACAATAGGTGGGGTCCCAGCCCAAATGAGGGTCCTTATACAAGGGATGCGTAACCCTACCCACCTTCATTCTACCTTTTGCGGCCCTAGGGCCTTACGGGTTTCGGGTTTAGGGCCATATTTAGGGTTGAGGATTATTGGGCTTTCGGTTTAGGATTTGGAGTTTGGGATTCTTGGTTAAGGGTTCTGAAACAGTAGATCTTGTGACTACTAATTACTGTTTGGGAACCATGTGTTGAAATGTGGCTGTTTGATCCGTTTTTGTTTGGCAAGATTCCTGGGTTCCTTGCAGGAACTCGGCACCCTAGAAGTGTACGCAATTCTTGTTGGGTTTTCGGTCCTGAGTTAAGAATTAAGAAGTTAAGAACCATCGCGGAACACACAGTATGCATTGGTAGTTCAATTGTTTGTTTCATGTTTGGGGTATGTAACGTCCTTTTGTTTGGCCTCCTGCATTGCATGGAACACCATCGCATACTGTATGTTTGATGAGCCTCATTCCCTCAAGAGAGCCTCCTTATCGGTTGAAATAGTGTTTCCTTACGCCTACCTGACTCCCCCCAGCCAAGTCTTTCAATGGTTTATGTACGAAAATCGCGACACACGTCAACTTCAGGTAAACCCCGAACCTACTTGGAGGTTCATGGGTAGTTATAAGTAGGGCTATAAGTAGGGTAGCTGTAGTTATAACCCAAATTAGGGGACTTATAACCCTACTTATAACTACCCATAAACCTCCATGTAGTAGACTTCAGGTAAACCCTAAACCGTAAACCCTAAACCCTAAACCCCAAACCCGAACCTAGTAGACTTCACCTTCAAGCCCAGGAAGCTTGCCGAGAGCACCGAGCCCGTAGCTGCAGCTTCGGCTGGCTTCGGGGCATTAGCCTGGTAAACGGCTTTTGAGGGTTTGGGTTTAGGGTTTAGGGTTTAGGGCTTAGGGTTTAGGGTTTAGGGTTTAGGGTTAAGGGTTTGAGGTTAAGGGTTTAGGGTTTAGGGCTTCTCTTCTGT